TTTTATAATATAATGTTTATCCAACTTGTGGCTTGATGGTGAAAGTGTTCTGTTTTCTCCTCACAGGCCATGAGTTTGAATTGGCAGATGCCTGCACACAAGATGCCTTCTAAATTGTAATAATAGGTTAGCAGAGGGAGTAAGATTCACATCTTTATAGTGTAACAAGTGCTCCTCTCGTCCAATTTATAGTTATACGCCTCTCAGCTGGTAATTTCAGTGTGTGAATTTATACCTGAATCATAGTCATACAATTCCTTTTTTGGCTGGTATATGACAACGCAATATCAAAATAATGGGGTGAATAAATAGAGGTGACCTTTTTAATATGATCTTTAATTTTTCTCCATTTACGTACAAGGTTCGAATTCATAATCTTATTTATGAGATGTTATCGTATGTATAACATGAACATCAGTTTGCATGACATTTTATTCGTACAAGCATTTCCTAGACACTGAAAAAGAGTGATACATACAAGGGAGATCGAGTTGGTATGAAACTCAATTCTTCAAACTTATTCTGTTTCGTTTCACCCTATATCTAGTTATAGTCAGAAGCACATATATTTCATATAAACTTGTAAGCGTCAAAGATCCAAATCCATCTAGTACCTGATCTTGTCCATTCACAAGGCAAAACCATATCAGCAGCGAGGGTACGTAGTAATTGTGGCTCTATCTCCCTCTTCAGTATTATTACTTGCAGGATGTACACTGGAATCACTTCTGTTCACAGATAAAGAGCTATTCTTTCGATCCAAGCACTTCGCTATTCGAGCGTTTAACTGCAACAACCAAAGAAGTCTTTCTTCTGAACGAGAGTACCCAAACTTAAACAGGTAGAACAGAAGTGAAATCCCAGAAGCGACCCCTACGATGACGAAAAGCCCTCCAAAGCTGGACACAGTAAGACTCATGGGATTGTTTGGGATTGATGATCCATTTTCATCTTCAGATGTGATTCCGCTGGAGAAGTACTTTCCCTTAATCCTTTCAAACTTTTCTTCATCTTGAGTCACATTTAGGATTGCCCTCGAAAAATAAGAGACCAGCGGAGATTTTAGTGGAAACGCCTGACCGCATATGTACAACATATCTCAACGTTAGCATTCTATGACAATTGAAGGCTTAAGCATATATTTGTGCCTCTTTGTTATTAGAAACCTTTATTTTTATCTCATTCAATTCAATAGCCATTTTCATCCTTCAACACAGCGTTAGTACAATTAAGAAACTGACTTCCAAGAGGCAACTAAAAATTTGAAATTTCTAATCAGCGATGCATGGAAGACTTTACTAGTCTTATTAATTGACTGATTGTGAAGGGAAGACTTGACTAATTTCAATTTCTTTTTTGGCCTGAATGATTAATTTCATTTATACCGCAATTTCTTTAAACATGTAAAATTTGTATTAAAAATTGATAACGAAATATAAAAAATACGGCACATACTAAACTCACAAGTCATAGCCCCTCTGGTCTCATATGTAAGGGGAAAAAAAATAACTACCATAGATTAATGAATAAAATGGGATTATTTTTTAAAAGAAATTTCCCTATTTTATTCACACTCAACAAACATATGAAAAATAATGGGTGTTTCGACAAGCGCTCTATCAATCTTTTATAAACATTCTTTGAATTCGTTTATAAAAAAAATAAAAATTCTTTGAATTCAAAAGCATGTCCGAACTTTAATAAACTCATCATGAAACTCAACTTATTTGAAGTTTTAGTCATCAACAAATAAATGGGCGCCGCATATAAACAAAATACTGCTATATTAGTTGCGGGCATAATTAGAATGTTATTAATTAATACGAAAAATTGTAACAAAGTCACACCCTAGGGAATTAAATATAAAAACGCCTCTTAAAATCATCAAATTATTCTGAAGTCCAAATAGACCTTATTGCAAGAGAATTTATTTGTTTAATTATCAAATTGTCTTTTTTTTTAAGTTTGCATTGCCAACTGAAAGAGCAGTTATGGACAACTTAAGGTGTAAGGATTAATAACTATCGCGGCAGGTATTGACAATTCATGCATTAAATTTTGTGATGTCCTGAGAAAATGTGTTATCAATACTTGCCATGATAGTTGTTAATCTTTATACCTTAAGTTATCAACGACTGCTCTTTTAGTTGTCAATACGAACTTTTTTTAAAAAAAAAGGACAATTTGGTAATTAAACAAATAAAAATTTTTGTAATGAGATCTCTTGAGACTTTAGAATAATTTGATAATTTTAAGAGACTTTTTTGTATTTCATTCCTTTAGGTGGGACCTTATTGTAATTTTTTCTAATTAATATATAGGCATTCTTTCTTTGTTTCTTATATTTGACCAAATCAGACTTTTTAAAAAGGCTCTTATGGTATATATGACACCAGAGGGAGTATCAACTTAAACCTTTGAAATAATATACATGTGTGAACGAGTTTAATTAAACACTTGCATTGTATTGCTCGGCATTTGTATTTGTTAAAAGACTTCTATTCAAGGCAAGATTGAACAAGAGAAAGAGAACTCACAAAGCCGAATCCCCCAGTTTTGTAGGTTGGTCCCACACTACCATACTTGGAGCCATATTTTGAGAGGAAAAACTTCACGTAAGGGATTTCACCAAAGATAGCAGCAACCTCACCACTAGCGAGAGCTCGATCAAATTCTTCAGGGGTCTCGTACGGCTTCAACTTCGTCTCATCCTTGAACCCCAATTGATTTTTCAGAAGCATTTTGACGAAGGACCCCTTCATATACCCCACACAGTAATTATTCTTTCTTATCTCATTCACATCAATGAACTTAGGCTGCAATCTTTGTACGGTTAACATGGAAGCCAAACTTGCGGTGTAACTTTGTGTTATGATGAGCACCACAAATACCCATAAGATCAGAACAAAACGCGACCAATTGTTCACTAATCTTTCCTCTGTGTGACCATTAAACATAGTGCGTAAAATTTAATGATAAATATAAAACTGTTGACCTAGAGATCATGAAATATGTAATGGAAGAGTTTAAGAGGAGATTTACTGTGAGCAAAGACTATGGTGGAGAAAGAAAACCAGAACATGATGCCAAGTTGGTGCTGTGGGGACCCTTGAAATTCTGTGTTTGTTCGACGTTCGTGAAGCCATATAATGATACCTGTGAGGACAAAGGCTGCACCTGTGGTCAGCCAAAGACCTGGACTCAAAGGCTTTAAGAAGATCCACATATTTTCTCTCTCATCGTGCTTCATCGAAACAACCATTAACACGCCAGATTCTGAATATGGCAGCGTGAAATCAACATGGTCTGCACGATTAGCTACAATAGTTATGTCCCCAACCACAGCATCATACTCCTACAAGTATTAAAAAAAAAACGGTTACATTTACTTGTTACATTATCTTTCAAAAAGCTTGAATTAATATGCTTGGACAAATATATTAGACAGTATACTATGATTTTTATCCTTTAACGAAAACTCGCCTTTTTCTCAATTTGAAGAACAAGCTCATCATAAGACTCAGTACTTTCTCCATTCTTCTTCTGGAATGCGAGGAACTCATATGGAAAAGGAAAAGGTAAAGCATTGAGCACTTCGTTAAACACATCAATGGTAAAGCCAGAAACATCTGGAGTACTATTTGAAGGGCGTGTTTCCACCTTCAAAAATTCATTAAAGCCCTTTCTTACTGGGACCCCAATTCTCAACTTGGTTGGTTGATTTATTACGTCCCCCGGCCATATTGGTGGCATTAGTTTCAATCTTGAACTCAAATGATTGTTGTGGAATAGTCCTCGCTGTGGGCTCCAATATCCAATAACCCTCTCCTTGCGTCCTACCACATTGAATACTTCAAGCTCTAAGGTTTCGAGTTGTCCTTCACTTAAATGGAAATTCCCGGAGAGGCCTTCGAATTTAGTATCTAGGATTCTATCTATAAGTGTATCATTACCCTTAGAACTTGCAAACTTGGACTCTACTGCCATGGCTATCGCCCAAACTGTGTCATAAGCCCAAAGTCCAAACAAGGTTAGGGGAAAAGACACATTACCAGATTTAATTGACGAAGCTTTCCATCTATTTCTGAAAATTGTAAGCCCTTTAGACTTTTCCAATCTCGGCCTTACCCCTAAGACACCTTGCATGGAATCCATCACTTTCGGAGCCAAAGGGTCTAACACATTGGATAATCCACCGGTGACTATCCACCCATACCCTTCCGTCATCATTCCAGCCTTGTTCACTGCTGAGAAGAATTTCGGACCAATAAGACTAGTCATGTGAACAAGAAATATTCTTTTTCGACTCTGATTGAGCTTCTTCAACTCATCTAAAATGTCATATTCCTCAGAATTTGGATCGATGGGAATTCTGTACGGCACTCGCGTGTTAACTTTCTCCAAGGCATCTGTGATATATGGGATCAGACCCTTGCCATACTCGGTGTCTTCGTAGATTGGGATGATTTCGTGCCATCCGTAAGCTTCAACAATGGCAGCTATAGCCCGCACCTGTGAGCAATCATCTTGTGCTGTCCTAATGAAAAATTTGCTTCTGTTTGGAGTGAGAGATGGACTTGTGGCTGAAAACGAGACGATGGGCACCTGATATCTGTGCCCAAGTTGTATTACGAACCTCGCTTGTTCCGAAAATAAAGGTCCAATAATTGCATGCACGTTTTCATTCGTCATCAAATGGAAAGCTGCATGGGTATAATTAATATCAGGAGCCATTAGAAACAGAAGATTAAAATTCTTAAAAAAGGATTTCAAAGTGTTAAAATATAAATCAGTTGACTGAAAATAACATTTTAGGACTGCAACTGATAAAAATATATTACCTGCAGATGCTGCTTTGACAACATCATTCTCAGAATCCCTGGTTCGAAGATCAAGCCTTGTTTGGTAATGAGAATAGTGTTTATAGAAGTCATCATGAGCCATTTTCATGCAGCGAATGGCCATTCTTCCAATTGAGGAGTTGAGATCAACAACTACCCCTACTGGTATATGTGTTTCCTTGGCCTTCGAAGATTCTACAAAGAAACATAGAAAAGAACAAAAACAACGAAACCAGCAGAGGCAAAGGTTAAAGCTCTTCTTTTTCTTCTGGCTCGACATGTTCATTCTGATTTTATAACGTGGCTACTCTCATCTCTTATCTTTTATATATATATATATAGAGAGAGAGAGAGAGAAGTCCATGAAGGGCCGGGCTAATCTCTTTAGAGGAACCGGACATATCAGAGACGAGGAAAGTCACATGTTCATATTCATAGGTGCTGTCTCTAGCTTCCCTGAAGTTTCGATGGTTTTACATATATGACTTAATTTTCCAACTCATACCAATGAATTCCTTCAGTCTTCGATGAGAGGACCCATTGTGAATTTGTGATCACACTTTGTTGGGGCATAGCAAAATAATGGTAAATCCAAATGAAATGACATGTTCCAGATAGAATATTCTGATCTTTCTTTGAAAGTTCGTTTCTATATAGATTGTTTAATTTTCCAGCTTATATATATGGGAGAAAGGACGCAGCATATAGATGCAACTTTTGACGTGAACTGTTTGTCTCTCCCCCCCGCCCCCAAAAAAAAAGGACAAAAATTAAGCTTATTTACTTGAAGAAACTCGACTCGAAGGAGCGTATGCGTAGGGTGTAATTAATAGTTAACAAATATTACTCTCTTCTACTTGGGTTACCCACTGCCCCTTTGATTCAAAATATAAGTTATTTAATCAATTTATCAATATAAAAAAATGATAGTTTATTTATTAAACGTATTTTAATTTGAAATTTTTTTTCAACTTGGCCCATATCAAATGAGGTTGTGAAGAAGAGAGAAAAATACAAAGAGTTACGTTTAAACATTAATTGCAGAAGTGAAATTGATAAATAAGAATCAATTACTCTTCAAATAACTTATGTTTTAATTGGATTGAGTCATTCTTCTAGAATCAACTTATATCATGGAGCCAAGGAAGTATAACATATCTTTGGCAGCCCCATAAACCAAATTAAATACAGTCAGCTCTTTTATGAGCGAAGAACAGACCGAATTAATGAGCCAGGTAAATTTTTTTTTTGTCAAGGATTTTTCAGAATAAAAGCTTAACTGCCTTTATAAAATTCTGTCTTATAATGCTCATCCAGCTTGTGGCTTGATGGATATTATATTGGTAAAAGTGTTCTGTTTTCTGGGGCCAAAAAAGGTAATAAAAGTTTTTTTTTTTTGGGTCTCTCCTCCCCGACCACGAATTTGAATTGGCATCAATTTCTCACACACAACACAAGATGCCTTATAGTAGCAGTAGCAGAGGGAGTATGATTCGCATTTTTATACCGTAACAAATGCCCCCCACGAATTGTTTTTTATAAGATGAACAAATTAAAAAGTTGGTTAATAATAATAAATATGTCAAAAATGTATTTTTTTTAAAAAAAATTCCCTTATTTATGAAAAAAAAATGGGTGGGAAAGAGAGTGAGTAAAAAAGGAGATGAGAAATAATGAGTTAAAAAATGAGGAGAGAAACATATAATTAATTAGGAAAAATAAAAAATATCTATACCAAATGTTTAGGCATTTTCAAGGTAGAGCTGATAAAAAAAGACTAAATAAATTAACAAAAAATTTAGCTTAAAAGAGGATCAGAGAGAGTAGTATACCTATGTTGGAAAAGAATTTTTTAAATAAAAAATATTGCCATTTAACCAACTCATAATTCATGAATGAAACAATTAATTTGTTGGGTCAATGAATTAATTAACGGTTTGCCTCGATCAATAAATATCTATTTAGTTAGATGGAATTTCCTTCTGTTTTGCCATTGATCATTAATATCACTTTCGTAGAATAATAGCTGGAGATTCCTCTGACCATGTGAACCACGTCGCTTTGGTAACACGAAAGCGACTTCTATTCTGCAAGAGAGCTGAACTTCTTATCGTTGGGTCTTGTTGGATTTAACTATCTTTACATTTTTCTTAATTCCTTCATTAATTTCAACATTTTTTTTAACGTCATACTGGGCAAACCAATAAAGAGGGCTATTAACAAGTGGAATTTATTTTATTTAATTTCTATAACTTGTAGCGTTTTTTGACTTAAACATCGGTTAATTTAAACTTAGTTAAAATAGTAAAAACTTTTACTATTTCGTTAGAGTTTTTTCTTCCAGTATTTTTTTTTTCCATTTAAACTATGGTCAATCTCTTTTCGTGCTGTTAATTGATAAGTTTTACTACAATTTTCAAGTTTCAAAACCAAAAAAGAGTGAAATTCTTTTATACATTTTTTCCTCTCCATGGATGATTGAGGGTTAATATAACATTTAATCCCTCAAATTTGTCATTGTTTTGGTTTTAGTCCTTTGAGGAGTAAAATGATCCATGTTTTTATTAACTTATAGGGATAAATGTTTTAAATGAAAGGAAACTTGAAGGACCAAAACTAAAATGAGAACAAATTTGAGTGATAAAAAATTATATTAGCCCATTATAAAAGTAATCTTTAGTTAGTACATAAAAATCAGTTTTGGAAATGATTTCAATAATATAAACTCAACTCTTAAATTAAAAAAATGGAGTTCTAGACTTCTAGCTATGTGATGTGTTGATTATCGCATGAAAGGATTAAAAAGAAAAAAGAAAAATCAATATATGTTCGTTACCGATGACTGTTAACTATATTCAATATTCATTCTATGGTTGAATATAGACTTGAATCATTCTTTGTAGACTAATGTGAAGATTAGCGTCTATAGAGTCGACCCCGCGCTCAAGTTTTGGTTGAGACTTTCTCTGCACATTTAAATTTCATTAAGTTCAACTATGATATTATTTTGATTAAAATTAAATAGATTCGTGGAGTTACACGTAATCTTCCCAGATTTTGAATTATGTAAATAATTTAATTGTCATTTAAAACTTGATAATGAACGACCCCCAATCTTTATACAAGTTTGGATTTGTGCAAATAATTTTCTTACTTTTTATTAGTTTTTCTTTTATAGAATATATGTTAGTAAACATTATAGGATGTTATCTATACCTAAAATGTACGGGGCTTAGTTGAAGGTACTCCTCCGGTCCTTATTATAAGACCCAATTTGACTTTTTATTTGGTCCTAATTATAAGACCCAATCCATTTTATCTTTTATATTTATGCATTTTTTTCAAAGATAATTCTTCTAATAATGATAGTTTTAGCCAATATACTTAATTAGCAAGGATATTTTAGGAATAACAACACTTATTTATTATAAATAATCAACTTAACTTACCTAATCTCCTCAAATAAGTCAATTGGGTCTTATAATTAGGATCGGAGGAGTATAAGCAAAAGTCAAAAGTGGTTATCCCTACAATAACAAAAGTTTGAGATATATTGTTTACGTCCGCCCCGTCCGGTTCGGAGACCGTCATGGTCGGGGGACATCTTTTTTCTTTTTTCTTTTTTTAATGCTCTTCTGGTTCTAAATATAAGATCTACTTTATAGCATAAATTACACTATAAAACGGGTCTTATATTTAGGATTGGACGAGTATAATTTTGAGTATGAATTTTTTTATGTTATAATATTTACCTTTTGTTGGGCTTTTAAAGATCAAAATATTCTTAAAAAAATATTTCATCTAGTCTTATTTATAAGTTTTAAATTTGAAGAATTGTGTGGTATTTTATAAGTTTTAATTTGAATTTGTCTTAATATTTAATGTATTTTTTCACTTTTGTCCTTAATTATTTATTCTTTCTCCTTTGACATACTCTCTCTTACTACCTCTGATCCTTAATATAAAATCTCATTTGACTTTTATTTTAGTCCTAAGTATAAGATCACAATCCACTTTATCTCTCATATTTATACATTTTTTTCTAAGATGATTCTTCTAATAATGGTAGTTTTAACCAATACATTTGATTAGTAAGGATATTTTAGGAAAGACAACACTTATTTATTACAAATAACTAACTTAACTTATTTCCTTAATCTCTTCAAATTAATCGACTAGTTTTTATAATTAAGACAAGAAGTAGTATCATATTTTTTCATACATTCTCTTTCATTTGTTTTCTCATTTATTATAAGAATAAATTTGAAAACAAAGGTATATTCTTAACATATTTATTACTTTTAACTAATTATTTGTTATTTACAAATTAGTTATTTGAAGCTTATAATAAGGGTCGGAGGGAGTATTATGTAGAAAGGTCAATTATGTAATATAAAAGTGTAAAAAACATACTGCAAAAAAACACTCTAAAAGAAACACTATATAATGACTTTATGAATTTATTTTATTGATAAAGGAGATTTTGTTGAGATAACATTACAATTTAAGAGTTAAAAATCACTAAATTTTGAAAAAAAATTATCCTCAGATTTTAAAGATTACGTGAGCCATTTGCACACAAGTCAAAATAATTTAGGGTGATTTTTTTTTTGTGGAAGAAATTTTGTGTAATTTAACTGAATAAATTTCAGCAATTTATAGACGTGGACACAATCTGATCATTCGACAATAGTATCTTGACTGACCCACTGGACATTTAAAACAGACCAAAGCAGCATATTTGAACCTATCAAAACCCCATCAAAACTTAATTAAGCCTCTTATTTTATTTTCTAAAACACATGAAATGTTTTAATGAGATATATTAATTTATAGTCGAATTAGTTATCCTCTGGCAGAATTTTCACAAAGGGTCCAACTTCAGATTTGATTTCCAAAAATTTTTTTGGGTGGGGGGGGGGGGGGGAGACATTACCGTTAATTTTTTCAAATTTTTTTTTGCCGGTAATTTTTTTAAACGTTTGTAATCATTAAACTCCCGAACAAAAATATGACAACATGGACATTTTCCCCTTTGACTAAGTTTCTCTACGTATCCTTACAAATTAATTTCGCAATTTCTTCACGAATCATGCAAAGGAAAGTAATTATAGATGGTATCTTTTCTAAAGCGTCATCAAAGGGAAAAGTTTGACTCTTTTTATTGGCCTGACAAAGGGAAAAGTTTGACACCAAATTAAACGCGGAAAAATCGAGGGACATTCCCCATAAATCTAGAAACTTGGCCGATTTTGCGTTGGAGAATAGTATTGGGCTGGCCAGTTTTTTTGTCATGGGGCTGGCCAGTCTATTGATGCGCTATTAGGCCTTTATGTGTTAGCTTGTGCGTATGTGTATGGCCCGGGGTTAATAAAATGTAAATTTCAGAAATAAATATGCACATCATCTAAAAGGATTTTTAAAACCATCTTCTAGAAAGGGTAATATCAAAATGATAGGATGAACTGCAAAGTTAAAAAAGGAAAAAAAAAAGAACCTTGGATGAGGAAAAAAAAACAGATTTACAACTACAACAAGAGTCTGTAAATTCCATCACAACAATACACTTCCCTAGGCGATATAATGACCAAGTATTCATGCAAGAAAGTGATCTCATAAAAGATATTTTATTTTTCCATTTTTATTTGCTCTATCTTCCTATAGGTTATTTTATTACATTCTATATTAAACAAGCTTCTTTAGTTTTTAACTAAAATTCTGACTCATCATCAAGAATTGTTCGCTGTATGTTTTTGCTAGTATAATTGGTTTTTGCCAAACATGACTTTCAGAAACTAGTAAAGCTAAGACCGAAAGCACTCCAATTACCATGAATAGACCTGCAAAACTATAAGCGGTAAGGCTAGGACTTGCATTGTTTGCTGATGCATTATTGGTTATGTCTTCTTTGCCTTCCTTGCGGATATCATTGCTTCCAAAATATTCCTGCTCAATCCTGTCCATTTCTTCACTCTCTCTCACATTTAGTATGGCTCTAGAAAAGCACGAGGTTAAGTTGGAGCCTTTTGGGAATGCCTGAAAAATCATATATGCCAATGTGTGAACACATGTTAAAAACAAAATTGCAACCTATTAATCAATAAGACAAAAGGAAGCACACGAATCAACAACAACATAATGTTGTTGCATCAGTAAATTTAGATTGGTTAGATTTAACTGGCAGGATTCAAATTATTTAAATACTCTATAAGATGTGAGATTAAAACATATCAACTACTAATTTACTGGGGTACATTCTTATATATGTTATCCTTCAACAATAGGAAGTCTCTAAATCCGATTAGAAAATAGAGAGGGAAGTACTTACAAAACCATATCCATCATTGCGGTGCCTGGTTTGGACCAAGGCATAATTAGAATAACCATATTGGCTGAGGAAGATCTTAAGGTAGGAAATTTCATTAAAAATAGCATCCACACCCCCTTTACGGCTTCCTTTGTCCAAAGCCTCCTTGTACTCGTTAATACTGGAGTACTTCTTCAACCTCGAACTATCAATCTTCAAGTGATGGACGAATAAGCCCCTCAAGAATGAGACACCAGGATATCCAATGTTAATGTTGGGATCATTTATAACGTCATTCTCGCCAGGATAACTAGGTTGTAACTGATGTACTGTCAAAATCGATGATAGGCATGCTGTGTAACTTTGCATCAGCACAAATGCTAGTATCAGCCATAACACCAACACAAACCTAGAGCCTGCTTTGGCCACTGATTTTCCTGCAAATAGTTAAGAAATATAAAATTGAGAATAATTAGGCACAGTTTCTTGTGCTTTTTGGGCAAAAGGCACTTTATTGCAAGGATTAACTTAAAGATGCTCACTTTCAGGAAGAACTGCCTGCATTACAGGAAGCCACAGGACAGCAAACTTGCAGAGTTGTTTCCAGCAGGGTGAATCTTCATCGACTGGACGTTCCATGAAGACTATGACACCTCCTATAAAAATACTAAAGATGGCTACGGACAACCACAGATCCCAAGTAAAAGGTTGCACAAAAATCCACATACTGAACCGTGGATCACGACGAATCTTCACGAGCATCCTCATATCAGCCGGTCTATATGGTAATGTAAAATCTACGTACTTTGATCGATTTGCCACAATCGCCACATCTCCCACCACAGCATCATACTGTTCATCAGATATTCAAGTCAACTAATGTTTTATAGAATGGAAGTGAGAGACCAGTCATTTCTTTGCCTTGCTGGTCTCTCGTCTTCACATGAGCAGTAATATATATGAAGAGAAGATCCTATATAGTTTCTAACAAGGTTATCAAATGGGGATACGAATTGTGAATCCGAAAGTCTATTTTTTGAATCTTGAATTAAAACTTATCAAGAATCGTAAAATTCATGAACAATTATTAAAGATGACATATAGGTAATTTTATAGAAGAGAACATTAAAAGTTTATAGATATTAGGTTCTATACACCTCACAAAAACTTAAAAAAGCCAATACATATCAAATTTCAATAACAAATAGTCTCCAAAATCAATTGGGGAATAAAAAAATAAGGGTCTTGATTGATACTTTGATAAGCTGAAAGTATGAGTGCATTAGGGAGTATTTATACAACAGATTGCCTCTTATAAATAACAAAAAAATCAGAAAAAATAAACATGAAAAAAGTTTTTTTAACGTGTTGAGTCAGATCCAGCGCGACCAACACTGCTTGAATCACATGATTTTGGTGTGAATCACACGATTCTAATGTGAATCGCATGATTTAGGCCACAAAAAGATACAATAGGATATTTGTATCTTTTATTGTCTATTTTGTCTCGAATTACAAGATTCAAATCGTGAATCGTGGGATTCTAACTGCAATGGTTTCTAACCTTTCCTTCAAAAATCTGATAGACGAGTGCGTCGTAATTTCCAGCACTGTTTCCATGTGCGCCTACAAAAGCTCTAAACTCGAAAGAAATATTGTAATGCAAACTCTTAAGGTAAGCTATTACAGCTTCGAAGACGTCAATGGAAAAGCCCGTAGCCTTGACGACCTGATTCTTATTACTTGAATTGAGTTGTAAATCCACAAATTGGACGAAGCCGCTGGCTGGTTTCTTGGGAACACCTATTATCAACTTCTTTCCTCCTAGGAGTGAACCCGCGGCCTTATCATCATCGCCTGCTCTAACCTGAGCTGTTAACAACACAACACAGGTAATTATTAGAAGGTAGCCGTAATAATAGTTATTTGGGGCTGCCATATATCTATAAAGTGGCAATATAAGATGAAATTAAAAGCTGGCTAGTTTGAGTTCATGCGGGTAATTAACTTCATTTATATAGTGCGCACACGCACACACACACACACATCACCTGAATGAACAGAAACTGCATTCATTCTTTTCTATGATGGATTTAGGCGGTCCAAATCATATTATTTATATCCTTATTCTCACTCGTATTTTTCAAGTCAATTTTTAGGAAAATTCCTCATTGAAAAATTTATCGGTGAGGAGAACCTAGAAGCTACCAATTATTAAGTCCTCCTCGCCCATAAAATAGGATTCTTTTTTCCTAATCCCCCCCCCATTTCTATGGTTAATTGTTGCAGCAACCATAAATACTAAAAATATGGAATTAAAATTTTTCAGCTAATTTTTTCAATACTCATGTTTCGTATTTTCAGTGTCCAACTGAAAAAAGTATTGAGAATGGCAAAAAAATTTACAAGAATATAACTCATTTCAATTTTCTTAATTTACATGAAGTAGTTAATTGAAAATTAGATTATAAAGACTGTGAAGTGAATATATATTATTATCATTTAATATTTATTCCTATTTCAGTGGAAGCTTCATTGCAATTACCGGGATTTTTTTTTTTGGCCAACGCAGTTACGGAAATTAGCTAGGAAGCATGCGTAACCATTCTTTCACTGAATGTTTCATAACCGTACGTCCAAGTTCGCTTTGTTTTTAAATCAATAAAAATAAATTCTTTCTGGGTAAATAGAGTTGAATTAATTAGTGATTAATTATTTTTTAATTAAAATCGATCTTCAAAATTATTAATTGAAAGTTATATTTATTGTGTTACATTTTTAAATAAAAATAGAAATTTCAACTATGTAAATTAGATTTATATGACTAATTAAATAAATGAAGAATATGTGATTAAATTAATATATATTTAATTAATTTTTAAGAATACACTATTGGATTTAAAAAAATAATTGTATTGACTCATTATATGTTAGTGATATCATGAGTATATTGTTATTTGTCTTACTTCTTTGTAAAAGATTTTAAGAGAATTGGTCAAAAGAGTAAAGAAAATCCGAGAGATAGAATGAGCTAATTAAGACTCAAGACTTTAATTTGAAAATAGAAAAATATTTATAATCTATGATGAATATCGATACTTTTTTGACGTAGCTTAAAAGAAGACTTATTTCTCTGAGTTGTTAATACTCAAGTCGCAGATATATTTGGTCCTAGTGAGAATGACGTGTTTGCTATTTATATGAATCATGTCAGTATCAGTTTCTTTTCAAGGAAGCTTCATACAAGGAAAAAAACCTTCCCTTGATCCTTGACCTAAGCAAATTTCTTTGACACTAAACAGAAAATTATATAAGATTAAGTTTTTGTAGAAAAAAATTTAATGCCGTGCCTTCCTGTGTTTTTCAGTCAGAGTGTTGGAACATTGAAGACTTGATTCAATTTCCACAGGTAGCTTAGGCTTGAAGCTAACCCTCAAATCAAAAGGTCTGCGAAAATTATTATATACGGAGAAGAAAATCTAAGTTAAGAAAATTATTATATACAAAAAAAGAAGAAAAGAAAATCTAATTGTCTAGAGAGTAGGCCACCCAGAAACCCTCGAAGGTGCAGATTAATGATTAATTATCTCCCGCCTTGGACTGGTCTAGTTGCATATATGCAAAGATATTGTTGATATATATACACACACACACACACATATATTTTTCCCCAAGAAAAATCAATAAAAATAATCGTTTTTGTAGTGCTACTATATTTACATGTCAATTTCTGAAATGATTCAACAAAAACGTAACTTTCCAAAGACCTCTAATAGATAGATACATGACATAAAAGGTTAATTAGAAGTTTGAATCTCATAAATAACAAGATTTATGCAAGGACTTAATCAATAATCATATTTAAATATGAATTCTGCAACAATACCTATTTATTAATACATGATATTTGTAAAAATTAATTAATTAAATGATGAAATCCATTTTAGTAGAGCTACCTCATTTTTATATATGATTATGTTTATCTCTTTCCATACTTTATTAAACTTTGCATTCACATAGAGACATACACGAACTCAAAACCTCATATTTAAGTGGTTAAATTTCCTCTACTAGAACTAATTAATGTTAGTTAGTTTGTTATTATCAACCTTTTTAAATCATGTATTTTGCACTAGCTGTCATGAAGGACCTTTAATTTTTCTTTTTCAATCAATATTATTATTGATGTCGGTCATCTATCTTTTCTTTATAATTTAATTTCTATGGTTGAACATCGACTTGAATCATTCTTTATACAAACTAATGTGAAGACTAACTACAGAGTCAAAATGCCCAAATTTTAGCTGAGACTTGGTCAGCACATACAACTATGATATTTTGAAGGGAGAAAAATAGATTGGCGGAATTGCGCGCAATCTTCCTCAATTTTAAGTTGCGTGAATACTTTTTTTTTTGGAATTTAAAACTTGATAATTGACCCTCATGAAATTTTTGAATACTTTACAATTTATTAGCACGCTAATTCATTTTTCCCCTTTTGGCCAAAATATTAGTAATAAGAATGAAATAAGAGGTGTCATCTACCCATTACTATAAGACTATGAAGTTGAACTTCCCTTAATTGTCGCTTTGGGGTTACTCCAAAAATTAACCGAATTAATGCAGTATAGTGCAAAACTCGGGTCGTTTCACTTTGAGGAGCCGAAAACGAAATTAAACCCTAGTAAATAATGCAAGTAACCTAAACTATAAAAGAGATTTTTGATTTTTGAAAAACTACTAATTAAATGCTACGAATCAATTGAAATTAAAATACTTTTTTTTTTCTTTTTTACTGTAAAAGAGAGAGACAAAAGATATGAAAATACTGACACAAATTGAAATGATGAAAATCCTCCTAATTCAACAATGTAGGCAATCATCACTCTAAAAGATGTGGGAGTTAAAAACAATGAATTAAGAATTATAATTAAGCTTTTAATCCAACACCGAGCCACCTCGAGTTGCCACAAAATATTTTCCTAAAATTCAAATTACTAACTGCAACCAGAATAGTAAAATGAAATTAAGGATACTAAAGACCAATGCTCAATTAAATTCTTAAATTCACAACAATAGACTTAAAGCTAGCAAAAGACAATATGATCCAAGATTCTAAGCCACCTTAGAAAATCACAATATATTAACTCCAAAATCAATACAAATGTCATAACCACAACATCATAATTGAAATCAAAGCTATAAACAGCCCAATGTCAAATGCTAAACAATAATCCAGTCACAATAATCCTCAAATATAATCAGATTAAGCAATACAATTATCTCAATAATTAGAAAAACTATCCTAAGACCTAGGAATTGTTAAACAATTATTGGGTAGGAAATTAAAGCAACTAAAACTCCCCCTTGATGATCCAAGCTCCTGCCATTATTGTTGAATTAGAGAATTAGGAATTAGCCACGGTTTGCCATAAAAATTGTCATAATCAATCCTCTTTTGCGGTCAGCCATGGAAGAACGCAGGCGCCGTCGACTCGTGCTCGCTGGTGTTCTGGTGTTCAGCTTCCCCGCGTCCAGCTTGCTCTCCGGTTTTGTTCCGTGTTCGTGCTTGTGTCTTCGTTCGGCCCAAAACTTGCTCTGCTCTGTTTTCGTTCTATCTCCTGTTCGGCGTGCTCTGCTCTTCCGTTTCGCGTCTTGCTCTGCGGCGTGTTCTCTGGTCCTTTTCTCGGCCGTGCCCAGGAGGAGAAGAAGATGAAGCCGTCGGTGATGATGGACTGACCGATGGAAGGACCTCTCTGTTCGTTCCAGGTCCGTGTGCGCCGTCCAGCTCCTCCTCTGTTCTCTTTTTCCCGCAGCTCCAGCTTCCTCTTCGTTCGGCGTCGCGCGTGTGTGTGTTCGGCCAGCTGATGATTATTAGGTTGGGGCAAAACGCAACGTTTTGCCCCCCCTAATTATTATTATTTTTTTATTTTTTATTTTTCTTTCCTTTTTCTTTTCTTTTCTTTATTTTTTTTCTTTTTATATTTTTGAATCTTCCAAGAACCTGCAAGCAAAATTCAAGGATAAGGTAGCATTAATTGTCCTCAAAAATCAATTAGTCATAATTAAACCAAAATGACAATTTTGCCCCTATAAAATAATAATTCAAAATAAAATAAATTAAATCAATTACGGCAAAAAGGGACCAATTAAGTTGACAAAACCCATATAAAAGATATCAAAATATATAAAAATAATTGAGTTTGTCAACTCCCCCACACTTAGCCTTTTGCACTCCTGGGCAAAATATCATTAAAGAAGAATCTAATAGAGAGACTCAATGCAAGCAACCATAAGATAGACTAAGTATGGATGTGCAATTAACTCAAGCAATCTTTATTCTTAATTAATCAACAATCATAGAATACTTCAGTGCAAAGAAATTAACACAAGAAACATAGCAGGATAAAAGAAGAGAAACATAATAGAGCTCACATATGGTACAAGTGTTTCACTCATCTCTCAAATGGGAAAAATTTCACTCAATCCACCTAGATTAGCACCTACCATAAGCTTGTAGAGATTCTAATATCTCCACTACTAACATACCTTAGACTCATGATCAAGGGGACTTAAAGGGTTGTAATGTTGGAAAGCAAGGTCAAATGAATGAAATGAACTAGCAAATAAAATGCATGAGTAATAAAGTATCAACTCAAAGTGAGCTTAAGTACAATCATAAAAGAACACCAAAGTGCAAATTTTAAACTTTTGAGACAGAAATCATTGCTCTTCAAACCACCATGGAATGCCTTATTTCAAATGTATTCTTTTGTTGCAACTTATTTTCTCTCCTTTTTTTTTTTTTATAACTTTCTTTCTTTGGCTTTTTCTAAACATTTTCTTCTCTTTCTTGCCTTTTTCTATTTCCTTTTTTTTTTCTTTTTTTTTGTTTGGCATCCAAACCCAAGAAGGCAAAGATATAGACTTTAATGATGT